GTTATTATTATCATCATCATCATTATCATTACTATTATCATAATCATCATTGGTACCAGTATCATTAACAAGTATTAATGTCATTACTTTTTTGTTGTTATTAGCAGTATTATTTCTTTAATGATGATAACAATCATCATTATTATCATCATCACCATCATTATCATTGTTACTATTTTTATTATTATTATTATTATCATCATTATTATTATTGCTATTATTATTATCATTATTATCATTATCATTATCATTATTATTATTACATATCATTATCATTATTACATAATACATAATAATATTAATATCATTATTACTATCATTATTATCCTTATCATCCGTATTATTGTTATTATTGTTATCATTATTATCATTATTATTATTATCATTATTACTATTCTTATTATCATTATAATCATTATTACTATTATTATTATCATTATAATCATTATCCTTATTTTCATTTTTATTACTATTACAGTATCACTATTATTATCATCATAATCGTCATTATCATTATTATTATTATCACTACTATTATCATTATTATTATTACTATAAGTATTATTGTCATTTTCATATAGTCAATTGTCATTACTTTAACTATTATCATTGATATTTTTCTTCTTATTATTATTGTTATTACTATCACTATCATTATATTTTTTATTGCTATTATTATCGTTATCATTATCATCATCATTGTTATTGTTGTCATTATCATCCCTGGTAGTATTATCATTATTATTGCTATTATTATTATTGCTATTACTTCTGTTGTCATTATCATTATTATTATTATTATTGTTATAATTATTATTATCATTATTATTATTAATATCATTATTATCATTATTATTACTAATATCCTTATTATTAGTTTCAGTTTTATCCTTATCATTATTATTATTATTATCATTATCATTACTATTATTATCTATTGATTATATTATCATTGATTCATTATGATTATTATTATGATTATGATCATGATTATTATTGTTATCATTATCATCACCATTATCATCATCATCATAGCCATCACTGTTTTTCCTATCAATGATGTATACTGAAGGCAAAAGTTATGTATTTACTCACAAAGGAAGACAATCTCTCAACAATTTACTACCTCTCGTATTCTATATATTAATGTATCATATAATTTCTTATTATGATTATAATTGTTCATGTTTTCGAAATTATTCTGGTAATTGTATAACCATGTGAGGAACTAATGTACCAGATAACAATACATTAGCTGTTCTTGTTACTGATTTTCATTTAATATTCATTTGATAACTTTTATGTAAGGATTAAAATGGAAGAATTGTTTGATTAAATGTTTAATAAATAAGGTACATATAAAAATAGACATTAATTAACCAAAGAAGAAAAGTCCTTGGTATTTAGAGTCGAGAACTACATTTCAAATTGCTTAATAAATACTAAACAGAATGATTGGTACATTACATATATTTTTAGAATCTATGGCAATGTTTGGGTTAAATGCATTTCCAATTGTGTGACATGTAGTAATAAATATATGTAATAAATAATATTTTCACGACTTGGAAATCATTTACCTAAAATCCTATTTCTCTCTCGATATCATACATCAAACCCACACTGAATAACGTTCTCAGGTCGTATTCACGGTGTTCCATAGGCCTACATTTTTTTTCTTCTGGTTCATTCGCGTCACAGCTCTCCTGCGTCCAGTCTGGTGAGGGTGTTGCGAGAAGACATCATCTCTGGGACATCTAGGCGCCCGGTTTCTCCCTGTGGGTGAAGTATTGGGACGAATTCTTAAACATACGTGGAGACAAGATGGTGCCCAGATTGGTGGAGTCACGCATGCTCATAAATATCCATACTTATGCATGTATATATATTTACATTGACGTTATCAAATCTCTTTTCCATAAAAAAAATATTAACGAAAAGCTAAAGATTTCGTAGAAAAAACAGGGAAAGAAATGGTAACCGACCGCAGGCGTTGCCTTTTCTTCACTAAACGGATCGTCCATTCTGCGGCGCCGGTTTGCAATGATGAAGGTGTCGAAGCCCACGGGAATGGGACCCGAACTCTGCGGTCTGAGGGAGACGAGGGCCAGGAGGTCAGCACAGGTCGATAGAACTAAGGAAGACTGAACTAAAAGGAAATAAGAGCTTTAGCAAAGTCACACATAAAAACAAATAATGCTGGTTAGAATCTTTGAAGTGAGTGAGATCAAAAGTGAGTTTGTACAGAAGGTGACAGTCGCAGAGGCCACGGCTCCTAACTTTTAATCTTTTAAATCTCTTGCATGTCTTCAAATCAACATTACATTACAAACATTACGAAACACCTGTAAAACGCTCTTTTCTCTGTTCTACACTTTATAACACTTCTGTGAGAATTCTTGCAGCTTGCCCAAGTATATAACTAATCATGTTTACTCTAATTTTTAATTTTTAATTCATCAATTCATAAATCATTCAGCTTATCCATTCATTTCAGTCCGAAACGAACTTAACGGATTTCCTCCAGAGAACACATCTTACCTAAACTTCATAACTGTGCGTTTGAGAGAGTAGTTGTACCCCGTCCAGGTGTACCAATTGACACCGTCGGCGAAGGATCGGTGAGGGCCTCCCAGGTACCAGCCGTTCAGGTTTGCATCGTGACAGTTCCCGTACCACCAAGCGCCCTGGAGGGAGAGGGGAACGTGGAGGGTGAACGTGCTGTCATAAGTACATGTCTGTCGTCAATATGGTAGAAATCATGTTAGGAAGGTTTATTTATTTTAATTTATTGGATCATCACCTGTAATTTAACTCTTGTCTCATTTAATACCCAATGACAGCTAAAAGGACTATTACTATTCATTTATCATTAGTCTTCGTCACACCTATATTACATTACTGTAATTCAGGAGAATAACATCGAACCCATAACTAGTTAGAGAGTTTCTGAAGGATGTGAATGCACGTTATGTAACCATGAGTCACACTTAGGGAATATTGACCTAGAGCAGAGACTATCTACACTTCCTGTGTCATTCACCCTTGGACTGGATTTATTTCGTCATTCACCCCTACCTCATCCCTCGCTGGCACAAATACACATAAAGAACATAAAGAATGAAGAAAAATTATTATATATATGTTTCTTTGCATAAAACAATTAACACATCTATCTATCTATCTATCTATCTCTATCTCTATCTATCTATCTATCTATTATAGTCCACTTAGTTTCTTTGGAAAATTCAAACAAAAATAATAGAAACAATATCGATGGTAAACCTGTTATTATAACTAATGGAATTTAACCTACACCGCGTGTGTTGTCTGACAAAACCCACCATATTAATGCAGGTTTAACCCTTGCCTTGTAAATTCCTATTCCAGGAGAAACATGTCCTTGGTTGAGTCACTGATCAAGATTAAAGAAATCGGACTCAACACCTGCTTCACCCCCCCCCCCTCATACGTTGCACAAGCGGAGAGGAGATAAAGATAAGCAAAGATATCATTTTTTTTGACCGTCAGTTTTTAAACGTAATTTAATCTATCATTTTTATACTTCATTCGTGGGTTTTCTCTACTGCTGACATTGAGCTTCCCGCGACAGGTGCCCGAAAAAAACACAAACTTTACATTACCTTATATAACCGTGAACAGCTTCGTTCCACAAAATCCCCATCGCGGTTATCATTATCAACATCGAAGGTGGAGAAAGGGAGTCCGTTGTGCGAGTAGAGGGAGTCACCTGTGGGGAACCAGCAGACGAAAATAAGGGCCTCTTCCTCCTCAGAAGGCCCTATCAGGCTAGCACTTTCTCCGTCAATTTTTTTGTTTCCGATTGAACTCCGTATGAAAATCATGTAAACAAACATGGCGCTATCGGAGTGAGGTCCCGGGAATCACACGAACATTCTCATACATATTACGTTATTTTAAAGAAATATGATGATGTATATTGTTTATATGAATGTTCTAAAATATTAGCTTATGTTTACATTCACTAATCCTATCTAATTTATTAACAGGACAAGATCAAGACGGAAATTAGACAGACGGAAACGGTCGTAACCGTCTTGGTCTGGGAAGCGTTCCGTTTGTAGACGATCCTTGCGGAAAACCTCAAATTCAGACGGAACCCCAGAAACTGACGGAAAAAGTGCTAGTGTGATAGGGCCTTCAGTCTACAGGAGTCTAAGAGGAAACCGATGTCGGCTGAAGATCTGGATAACCTAATTTTCAAAATACGAAAGGCATTTAGGTGACTCCGAAAGACATGGGTGTAATGATCGTACAAGCAAAATAAGTCCTTAGGCTTTTACAGTACCATATAGCCGGCGGGGAAGGATGCGTCGATAATGGAAGCTCACCTGCGTTGCCGAAGTAGACGTTGGCGTGGTACAGGCGGTAGGCATCGCGCTCGGAGCCCACGCGGAAGCCCCGATACCTCGCGAACCTCTTGTTGCCCGACCAGTCCTCCAGCTCGATGTGGAGCTCGTAGTTGGTTTCGTTGTCGACGTTTGTGAGTGACCAGAGGAGGATGTTCCCTGCAAACACGTCGCGAGTCGGGGTCGAGTCAGGTAGTCGGGGTTGGGGAAGGAAGGGGGAGGAGGTTAGTCTCACGTCGCTGCGTCATCGGGATTCGTCAGGGGTTGACAGGATGGGGTTGGCGCCCCCGTCGGCTCTACGTAAAACTTTAGAAGAGAAGAAAGTTGGGTGTTGAGAAATGTGGTTAGAAATGTAGTTATAAGTTGGAAGTAAAAAGTCAGATAACGTAGGAAGGGGGAGAGCGTGAGTCATCATAGATACTGGTATCCGTCAGAGATAAAACGCAGAATTCGTTGTTCCTATTTTTTATACTGCACAAGCGGTACCTTGTCACTGTGGACTTTTAATCCGTACGTTCATGCAAAGATAATTAGTAATCAGTGTAAATGTTATACGTAGTGACAGGTGTCAGTCAGTGTCAGGGCGGGAATCAGTGGTGCTATTGTTCGTATTTGAAAAGTCACCACCGGCAGTATGGACTATTTATCACGTTTTGGGGATGGAGTGATTACGTAAAGATATGAGTATCAGGGCTTCTTACGGTCATCATGAAAATATTCCACTTATGTTCAGATATTTCTTTGACCAGTCGTCAAGTTCTAAGACTTTTGTATCAGCCAACAGTAGCTCTATTTCCGTCTGACACGAGACCTATTTTCCCGTGACAGTCAAGTCAGTCAACATTATTTTTGTCATTACATTGGCCCCGATTGTTACATCATGAATGTCTTGTAGAGTGAGTGAATTTGAGTTAACGTAGCAGTCAAAAAATGCGTTTTTTTTTTGGCAAAACGACTTTATAGTCATTAGAGACCTTCAGCATTTGTGGCAGTATTTCTTTTATAACCATGTGTTAGTCAGCAATATGTACTGTACATACATTTATATTCCTATAGTTTAATGTGTTTCATTGGTTAGGAAAGTGTGTAAACTACACACACACACATACACACACACACACACACATATATATATATATTACACACACACACATATATATACATGCATATATTATACATATATGTATATGTACATATATGTATGTATCTATGTATGTATAGACATATAATATATATACATATATATGTAAATATTGTTATTTATGTATTATATAAATATATATATATATATATATATATATATATATATATATATATATATATCTGTGTGTGTGTGTGTGTGTGTGTGTGTGTTGTGTGTGTGTGTGTGTGTGTGTGTGTGTGTGTGTGTAACCATGTATGTATGTAGTACGCATGTTTCTATCTTTCAAAATTCTAGACATGTAAATAAAAGTATTATAAATTCGTCCTTTCTTTTCAGGTCATTCAAGTCTCGTTACTGTGTTTGTTCACTAGGCTCACTAAGCCTTTTTCAAACTAGTTAAAAGCTGGGTGATATTTAGGAGATACACATTGTTATATGCTTTGTAAACAGCGTCTACTAAGCTATCATTTAATTTAATCATTAATAAATCGCTAATTGTTGTATATAAACAATTTGTCCAATGGATACCAAATGCCAATAGTTATTTACCTAATCATAGAATAAGCATTTCCAAGCTAAATGTCTTACATAAATCCTTATCACTCTGCAAGTAAGCTATACAAGGGTGAGGACTATGTCAGCGTCAAGTCAGTAGAACGATTTCGTCTCTGTCAGTCGAATTTGACTCATTTGGCTTCGTCAGTATTTCCATAAGCGTCAGTCTGTAAGCCCTTTAGCTTGGAAATGCTTATTCTATGGTTAGGTAAATAACTATTGGCATTTGGTATCCATTGGAAAAATTGTTTATATACAACAATTAGCGATTTATTAATGATTGAATTACCTGATAGCTTAGTAGACGCTGTTTACAAAGGGTATAACAATGTGTATCTCCTAAGTATCACCCAGCTTTTAACTAGTTTGAAAAAGGCTTAGTGAGCCTAGTGAACAAACACAATAACGATTTACGGAGATGTCAGCAAGACCTACACAGAAGGTCGAATTTCTCATCAGCATGTCTTTTGTAATCGTTATAATGTCGCCATATCCGGGTCGACCAAATATGGTGAGATACCGTAATGTAGAAAAGGTATGCATGAGACTGGATATCTTCACAATACAAGAGATGTATTTGACCGGTTTCGATTACGTCTTCGTCAGAAATACATTGTATTGTGAAGATATCCAGTCTCATTCATACCTTTTTCTACATTTGTCAACATGGATACGTTTTATGAGATACCGTAAGATGGATATTATCGTCACTTCTAAAACATTTTTATAAAGTCCATCAGACATGTTATCAACAACGTACCATTCAAACTCGGCCAGGTTAATAAACTCGTTTAAGTCATGTTATCATTACTCGATTTGACTCTCCATTATATAGCACCTTGTTCATGTCATGTCGCTACGATTAGGTTAAATGTTCCAGAGATTCTGTCTGAGCGAACCTTAGTTAAATCTATGCAAAGTTATATGCATAGGAACAAGTCACACTCTCGTAATAATCAGGCTATGGGGGGGGGGGGGGTAATACATGCTCGACTCGTACTAATCAGGCTATGGGAGGGTAGTACATGCTCGACTGGCAAGGACCATAAACACCAGCTGATTCATGGGAGATCAATGTCCGACTCAGAACCAAGATCCCAACGTATTTCAGTCCGCCATTAAGGAACTTTCTTTTCCTTCTTTTGGATTCTTTCAGTATGACCCATAGATATTTGATAAATAAATAAATAAATATAATAAATAGAAAAATTAAATAAGTAAATAAATATATATGCATAAATGTGTGTGTGTGTGTGTGTGTGTGTGTGTGTGTGTGTGTGTACATATCTATCTATATACACAAAGACACACGTATATATAAATATCTATCTATAGAGATAGATATTATCCGGCGCGTTTCATTGTATAAAGCTAAAGAATCAAGAACTGTAAAAGACTGCCACCACAGACAGAAAAAAAAAATAACGTGATTACCCAGCGCCTCCCTTCCCGAGACGCTCACCGTGACGGCCAGATGGCACTCAGATTGTTGGGAATTTTCTGCGATTATAAACTGTCAACTCCAATTGCAACAAAAGCCGTCTCTCACTCACTCTTTTGACCGACTTTCCTAAGGGGAATATTATTTCCGTCGGTTCTCCCTTGCTCGCATCTTCAACCACGGTGAAAATAATTTAGTATAAAGATACTAGATGGATTATTCAAGCCTTATTAGGGCAAAAAAATAGGCTAGCAACGCAAAATCACTAGCGACAGCAGATGCAAGATGCTGAGGGAACCTGAGCAACCAGTGCGGAAAGGGATTCGCGTGATCCAGACTGGAAGACAATCTCCTTGTACTTTGGCGCAAGACAAGACGATTTAAGCCAACATCTGGCGTTTGCTGCAAAGCTTGAGATGTTTTGTGTCGTGTAACATGTATATAGATAAGTGTATATAAGAATAAGTATATATAGTGTGTGTGTGTGTGTGTGTGTGTGTGTGTGTGTGTGTGTGTGTGTGTGTGTGTGTGTGTGTGTGTGTGTGTGTGTGTGTGTGTGTGTGTGTGTATGTGTGTGTGTGTGTGTTTGTGTGTATGTGTGTGTGATATATATCCATTGATATGGCACATCTTATGCATGCGTGTGTGGCCGCGCGGGCTCGCGTGTGTGGTAAACCATTTGCGAGGAGCAGCGTGGTCTAAAATATGCTCCAACATATATTACCGCAACAGTGTAAAATGTATGCTCCAATATGGCACACAATGCAGTCCTATATTTCAACATCTGAGTTCGTGTGTAATAGTAACGTTCATAACCATGTTTCCATTGTCTACAAGTATCAACATGTTCTACAAGTACCATCTGTCGAATGGTGGTAATTAGGATATCAACAGCCACGTGTTCTGATAATTGGATTCTCATTTAATTCTTGTTACCCTATCAGCTAAGAAGTTCAGTAATCCTAGTGTCTAACAAAAGACAGCCGATAGCAACATAATCCAAAAAGAACCGATACATTAGCTTATAAAACAAACAAAAAACATTTGTGTTGCGTGTGGCAATATTCAAATCACTCCCTGACAACAAATCCCGCAGTGTTAAGAGAATCATACCATCAATCACCGTTTTCTTTGTCTATCTTGCCGTTTTATCATTTCGTGAAAGTAACGGCTTTCTAAACCGTCGGGCAGTTACTGTCTGGACTCACAGCATCGTTGATCAGCAAGCATTGGGAATTAAGGTTTCTCGTGCTCGAATACACGCTTATCATCCTAATCCCAAACCCCTTGTCCGCAAATGACTTCAAACGGTGCACAATTATACAATTCAGGTGTCAATTCAAGCAGCAACGTTATAGCGAACTGAACAACCCACTAAAAACCAAAAGCAGTTTAGTAGAAAACGGTTATAACTGTTTCTGTCACAAGTCAGCAGAAGTGTTGTCACGGACGGAAGCAGTCGACCAATCGCCCGCTAGGCAATTATGGGAGTCAGTGTTACGAGCTCGACTTTCCGCTCCTGCAACCCGGGAAGATATTGCAGATAACCGTTGCCTTTTACAGCAGACTTCTTACTGTGTTGTTTAGACACTTTTTAGAGTCGCGTCAGGGTTACGGTAACTGCATTCTCGGAAATTAACTTCCAAAATATGCATATCTCTTCCTCACTGCAGCGAACACCGTCAAATAACCACCTCGTCTATTTTTAGACTCGCAAACTAGCGTTCCTAACCGTTAATATTTCCGTTTGTCGCTTATCCATCCCACGAGCGCACTTTCTCTCGCTCCCTCGTCAGTGAAAACGCGTCAGCCCATCAGTCAGCCAACTGCCTCGCCCTGGCTGCTCTGTCAACGTCAATGGCTGCTGAACGCCTTCGCTTTCTCTGCCTCCTCGCCTGCATCCGACGCCGTTCATCTCCCGCGCTAGAAATTTGCAGTGACGCATCTTTGCATCTGAGGAATGCGGACTCGTCTTTTACAAATATGAGGAGTATGTGTGTGTGCGTGTATACCACACAC